GATGTAGCCCAGAGGTCATTTGCTAAAGAGATTAGCATGGCTAGAAGGGATCTAGGTGCTATTCCTCAAGACAATGGAAGAAAGACCTCAAAGGCATTTCAGAGATCTTCAGGGCTTCCCCTCTTATCACAGGCCCAGAGGCCTAGGAGGAAAGAATGGTTTCAGGGAGCAAACCCAGGCATTTTCTATGGGCTTACTGCCCAAGACTACCTTGAGACTCTGTACCCTGGCACAGTACTCTGAGGCCACATCAGGCAGGACTCAAACAGGTAAAGGTATGGCTCATTCTCCAGATCTGGAAGGTAAGTCATAAACCTTGGCAGCATCCACATGGTGCTAACTCTGCTGACTTGCAAGAAGCAAGAGCTGTGGAGGCTTATTAGCCCTCATCTAAGTTTCAAAAATCATAACTGATAGCCTGAAAGCCCAGACAGAGACTTGTTGCAGCAGCAGAGTCACCACAGTGAGCCTCTGCTAGAGCAAGGCCAAACAGAAATGTAGAGTCAGAGCTGCTACAGAAAGTTTTCAATAGGGCGGCGTCTCATGGGCACTGGAAATGGAATCGCCACCCACCGAGACCCAAGAGCTTTCAGCATGTAATGCCAACCTGGGAAAACTGGATGGACTGACCCCAGCCAAGCTTCAGAGGCAGAGCTACCCAAGGCTTGTGGGGCCCAACCCCCATACGAGTGTGTAGAGGATGCCAGAAATGGAGTCAAAGGAGATCATTCTGGAGTCTTAAGACCCTGTGTCTGCTGTCTTGAGTTTCTGAGTTGTTCAGAGCTTGTTACCCCTTTTTGCTTTTCTATGTCCCCCTTTTGGAATAGGAATGTGTACCCTATGCTTATCACACCATTGTATATTAGAAGTAGATATAGAAGTAGATATTTTGCTTTGACTTCACAGACTCATATATAAGACTTATGACTTTGAACCTTTAAGTTGCTGCTGAACCAAGTTAAGACTTTGGGGCTATGCAAATGGAATATGTGTCTTTGTATGTGAGAAGGACATGAGTTTTGGGAGCCAAGACAGAATGCTATGGTTTGATTGTCCCCTCAAAAATTCATTGAAACTTAATCCCCAGTGTGGCAGTATTGAAAAGTGAGGCTTTTAAAATGTGATAGGGGCTGGGCGCGGTGGCTCACGCCTGTAATCCCAGCACTTTGGGAGGCCGAGGCAGGTGGATCACAAGTTCAAGAGATCGAGAACATCCTGGTCAACATGGTGAAACCCCTTCTCCACTAAAAATACAAAAAATTAGCTGGGCATGGTGGCGCACGCCTGTAGCCCCAGCTACTCAGGAGGCTGGGGCAGGAGAATTGCTTGAACCCAGGAGGCAGAGGTTGCGGTGAGCGGAGATCGTGCCATTGCACTCCAGCCTGGGTAACAAAAGCGAAACTCCGTCTCAAATAAATAAATAAATAAATAAAAATAAAACGTGATAGGATCATGAGGGCTTTTCCTCACAAATGGAGTAATCCATTCATGGATTAATAGGTTAATGGATTAATGAGTTATCATGGGAGGAGAACTGGTGACTTTATAAGAAAAAGAAGAAAGGCCTGAGTGAGCACACTAGCATGCTAAGCCTGTCATGTGATGCCACAAAGAGTCCCCATCAGCAAGAAGGCCCTCACCAGATGCAGCCCCTCATCCTTAGACTTCTTAGTCTGCATAGCTGTAAGAAATATATTTATTTCTTTTATAAATTACTCAGTTTCAGGTATTCTGTTGTAGCAACAAAAAATTGATTAAGTAAATAAACAAAACGTGGTATATACATTCAAGGAAATACAATTCAGCCTTAAAAAGAAAAAAATTCTGATATATGTTTTAATATCATGTACCTTGAAAATATTATGCTAGGTGAAATAAGCCAGACACAGGACAAATATTGTGGCTACTGTGCCACTGGAAAAATGAAGAAAAGAAATGACTCTCTCTATATTAAAGCAAACCAGGTAAAATAGTCAAATCCATACACAGAAAGCTGAATGGTGGTTGTCATTGGTCTATGAAATCGATTTGATAGTTTCCATTTGGAGTGATTAAAAAGTTCTGGAGATAGACAGCAGGGATAGTTACAGAGCAATGTGAATGTACTTAATGCCACTGAATTGTGCAATTAAAAGTGGTTAAGATAAAAAATTTTATGGAACACCAGAAGGGAAAATATATTTCAGAATCAGTTAGGACATGTTGACTTTGAAATGCCTGTGAAACACTCAAATAGAGATGTCGAGGAGAACATAAACGTAAGAAGCCCCGAAGAGAGTTCATGCCTTGAGATGTATATTTTGAGTCATTAGGATACAGATATTAAAGAACACTCAGAATAGATTCAATCAGCCAGAGGATATCAACGAATATGAGGATCGAAAAGACTAAGACTTGGAATTGGAGCCTAAAAAACACCAACATTCAGGAGGCAGGCTGAGGCAGAGAAACCTGTGAAGAAGAGAGGAAGAAGGAGACAGAAAAGCTGAAGGTAAATCAGGAGGGCGCACAGAATTGAACTCCTGTGAGAGGTCAAGAAAAATGAGGTTTAAAAGTGTTCATCGTATGTAGCCCTAAGATGCCTGCTGGTGATCTGGATGAGGAGAGTTTCTGCAACACTGTGGGGGGAACACTAGCCTGCCGAATTAACTGAAAGTGTAAATGTGGGGGCAGTCTATGGACAGCCCTTGAAACATTTGATTGTAAATGGAAAGAGAAAAGGCAGGATTTGGCCAGCCATGGTGGTTTACACCTGTAATCCTAGCACTTTGGGAGGCCAAGGCAGGTGGATCACCTGAAGTCAGGAGTTCAAGACCAGCCTGGTTAATATGAAAACACCATCTCTACTAAAAATACAAAAAATACCTGGGTGTGGTGGTGGGTACCTATAATCCTAGCTACTCTAGAGGCTGGGGCAGGAGAATCGCTTGAACCTGGGAGGTGGAGGTTGCAGGAGCCAAGACCATGCCACTTCACTCCAGCCTGGGTGGCAGAGCAAAACTCCATCTCAAAAAGAAAAGAAAGAGAAAGAAAGAAAAGAAAAGGCAGGATTTGGAGGGGAATGCGTGGGGTTGAGACGGGCACTTCATTGCAAAGAGCAGAGAAGTTGAAGGTCCAGGGAGAGGGCAGTTGGAGCTCTGGTGTGGGCTTTCATCATCAGAGCTGACCCAGTGGAGAAGAAGACCTGGTATATCAGTCAGCATCCTTTGGTTGAAACATACAGAGATGGCAACTGATTTAAGCATAAAAGGGAATGTATTGACAAACTATGGGGAAAATTCACAGAATCAAAAATAAGAGTGGAGAACAAGACTCAGCAAAGGACAAAATTTGGCCATGCTGAGAACATGAATAGCAGAAACCATTTTACAAACCTGCCAGGGGACCGTCACTGGAATTGGTAGGCTCCACCTGTTTTCGTGTTTTTATCACTTTGCTCATCATTGAAATTCCAACCAATTGTCCTAGGCCATGTACCCCTTGCTTGGGAGTTGAGGGGAGGTGCAGAGTTCCTGGATATCCCACCAGGTTATGTTGCATGGGGGACAGGTAATTCCTGGAAAGGGAAGTCAGAGTGCTATTTTTAAAGGATGTGGAGTGGATACAGGACCCCCAGAAAGCAGCACAACCAGAACAGGACTGCAAAAATCAGAAACTGGAGGTTTTACTCTGAGAAAGTCAGAGCAAGGACACTAACCTTGTTTTCTGATACCCTTTCAGCACTTACTCATTCACGTTTTCATTCAGTTAGTGTACCACAACCCAGAGTGGAGGGAAGTTAACATCCTATGGGGCAACCCTCAGCCACTAAAAGACAGGAGCCAGGGGATAGATGCCCCTTTACCCCCAAGTGATCTGGAGATGCATTTCATCTGGTTTCTCAGATGGGGCAGAACAGCCCTTCACCAATGGAGGTGGCCAGCTTGACAAGGCCTCCTTCCGTGGGATTTCCCTCCTGCTTTACTGTGCTCCCCCAGCCTTGCTCCAGCTTTCTGGGATCATGCTTTCCAGTCAAGTACTGTCACATAAACCTCTTGACTTCGGCTTTCTGGAAACACAGACTAGGGTAAAGGCAAGACAAATCAGGAGTGAGAGGGTAGGGTGAGGGAGGTCAGAAAGTGAGCTAAGGGAATTTCTTGGGAAAAATCTTTCCAGCAGAGGGGACAGGTGGAATAAGGCCCTAAGTAGGACCATGTCTGTGTGTCTGGGGAACAGCACAGAAACCAGGGTTTCTGGCAAAGAGTACGAAAAGATGTCAGTAACGTGGCTGCACCACATCACATTTGGCCTTCCAGGGCTTGGCTTTTACAAAACAAAAAGGGGAGCCCAAGAATGGCAGGATCTGACTTGGGTTAAAAAGACTGCCCTGGCTGCAGGGCTGAGAAAAGATCTGTGTGGGGAATAGGAAACATCCCCCACTGTGGGTTCCCACTTGTGAGAACCAGAACTAGAATTAGATAGTGAAAAAAATTCAAGCCCTTTTGAGGGAGGCTTAAAAGGAAAAAAGTTTTCTTTAAAAGGCAGAACTATCCAAAGATGGCACAAGCTGCCTTGGGTGGTAATGCTCTCCTGCCACTGGGGGTGCTCAATACAGGCTGGAAAAAGTCATTGGAAAGTGTGTAAAAATGCTTTATATGAGCTAATACAGGGTGGCACAAAGACAGACTTCAGGATGCTTCATACCATATGAGCATCTAAGCCCTAGAGACCCAGAGAGAATAATGTTCCCCCAAATGTCCCAGCAGAACCCAATTAAACTCTAACAAGCTCCCAATGCAGGGTTCAGGATCCTTCACATGACCCCAATGCTATCATCTCAAAACAAATCAAAACTAGAACAAAAACAAAATGCTGTTCCTACTACAAGTACCTTAAACTGATTTGCTTTGGGATATGTAAGTGCAAGACCTAGAAAGAATGAGAGGTGGAGTGAGAAGGAGACTCCAAATATTGTCACAAGCATAATATGCTAGAAAGGTGAGGATCTGGCTGGAGATGGCTCAGCTTATTGGTTCATTTATTCATTGAACACATTTTTATTGAACATTTGTTATGCATTCAGTAGAGGTGAATAGAATCTATGGAGTCTGTGCTTTTTGGAACTTACAGCCTAGCAGGGATAAGTAATTATAACAAGTTGTATGAGTGTCCCAGCAAGGGTGGCAGAGCTCAGTGGCAAAGACTCTCAGAGCAGAACACAGCCATTGTGGCAGCAAACGTGCAGGAGCAAGGGAGTGTGAGGAAGAGTGAAATCTCCAGAGCAAAGGTTGGGGAGTGTGTAAGGCAGCTAGAGAGAGGGAAGCTGAGCCCCGGTCCTAAAGAATCCAGGGCAAGTTACCAAGGAAGCTCTCAAGGCTCAGTTTTCATAAAACCAGATGTAAAAGAAAGTCTATTCCTCTGTTAGAAGGCATTACGCCAGGCAGCACAGGTCAGTCACCTGGATGTCTTATTGTAATGCAGATTCCAAGGTCCAATTGCCCCCAAATTTTGATCCCATTGGTCTAGGGTAGAGGTTAAGTACTTATATTTCTTTAAAATCTCTCCAGAATTTCAAAAGTACATCTAGGGCTGAAAACCTCTGTAGCAAGCAGAGATGTCTGAGAAACCAGAGAGCACCCCCTGCACCCACAGTACTCATTTCTTCATCTAGTCCACATATTCTGAACACCTACTATCTAGGAAGTAAATCAGGACTTGCTAGATAGCAGGTGTTCAGAAAATGTGGGCTAGATTAAGAAATAAACACTCTGTGAATGAAGTAAAGGAAGCCATCACTGTTTACTTGAATTTGAGCCAGGACAGGAGTAAAACTGACCTTTTGCTGATCCCCTGAATGACAGACTTGCATCCCTCCTGATTATGGACAAGAACTGGACCTAGCTAGAGCCTCATGTGGGTGGGGGAAGGGACAAAAAGGAGAGGAGGGGAGACAGGGTGCTGGGATGGAGGGGACCAACAGCTCATTATAGATCAGTGACAGTGGGGGAATCTCAAACACACATTAATGACTACTAAGCCTTATTGAAGATATCCTGTCTTTATTAAAGTGTCCCATGTTTATGTAAGTGACCCCCCCTCCTCCATCACTACAGATGATGGTGACTTTCTATGAAAGAAGAGAGTAGTCAAGTTTTTAACAGAGGTAGGGTAAATGAGGCCCCTCAAAAGTGCAGGGAAGGAGGAGAGGGGATCAAGTTATCAACAGAGTTGGGGTTAATGAAGCCCCTCAAGAGTGCAGCTTGCTGCCTCTCCCCACCAATTCCATTCCAGACCCCCACTGTCAGAAAGTCTTCTCTCCTCCCATCTCAACCCATATTACATCTCACTGTAGAGCCTTGTAAGGTTCTCCCACATATCTGAGCAGTTCCACATGGACAAAACATTTTACATCTTTAACGCCCTCTTTCTTGCTGGAGACACCCCCATCCCTGTGGCTTTAGGGGGAAAGCTGATCTTTGACAAGAGGCCTCATTCTTGGCCAATGTGGAAACGCCATTTAACTGTAATTTCAGCAAAGAACCCAGGAGGCCAGGCTCCTGTTCCTGTGTTTTGACCATCGGTGTCGCTGAGAATCTGCTAGACTTGGCCCCTGAACTCTGAAGATCCTCCATTATAATGCTTCCCAGGGATTTTTTGCTTTGCTTCTAAAACTCTGTCTTCTAAACCTCCCCTAAATTCTCTGCCAGTTCATACGCCATGGGTGAGAAGCCTAGCTCTATGGGACCCCACCCCAACCACCATCTTTCAGCCAGGCAGACTCCAGGATTCACCCTGAGTGGAAAGAAACTGGAATCTGAGAAACAAAAGCAAGAGACGCTGTGTACCCAACAGCAAAGGAACAGCCTGGTCTCCCACCTCTTGCCCTTCAAGGGAAACCCCTGCTGCATATGTGAAGGCAGAATCATAGACAAGGCTCACAGGGTGGGCAAAGAAGCTAATTTAAGGCTGCAGCTAGAGAATGTGGGGAATCATGAGGGGTAGGGGTGCAGGACTAACAGGGGCAAGCTCATTACTGTGGAAAACCCTTTGGAGATCACCCAGTCTTCTCATTTTCAAACTTTTCAAAAGTAAACTTTTTTTTTGTACAAACATCTTGAATGGAACTCCATCTAAAGTAAAGCTGTTCTGATTGAAGCAAGAGGAGGAGGCAGGAGGTGGAGGATGAGTTGAAGACACCCACTTGCTTAGTCTACTTTCCCAATCCAAAAGGCCCTGAGGCACCTAAGCAGAACTTTGGGGTCCTGGGTTTCACTATGATAAACCAATGATCTTGCCCAAACCGTTAGTTTTATAAAAGGCAAAACTGTATAATTTGTCCAAGATCTCCACTGAGTCAGTGGCATCACCAGCGCTAGAAGTTGACACTACTCCCAATCCAGGTTTCTCCTCTACCTTCCCATCAGCTAACTGGCACCCTCGACAGGCTCTGGGCCCACCCAGGGAATCTTAGACGGAGCTACGGAAGGAGAACTGCAGGTAGATGATCAACAGCAGGACTGTGGCCCAAAACAAGCACCAGGGGAGAGAGCAGAAGTTCCAGGCTGAGCCCGTCTCCTCCTGCGGCTTGGCGGGGCTGGGCGCCCGGGAGAAGGTGTAGGTGGTCGCCTCCTCCTCCAGCAGCTTCTCGCTGGGCTTCCAGTGCACGATGCCCTCCTGGCAGGCCTCGCAGAACTCCCCGCGGTGCCGCCGGTTGTCCTGGCGGCTGGCCACGTGGATGCGGTACTGGCCGCCGCGCTCCCCATAGCACTGCTCGCGCAGGCTGGTGATGAGGTTGTCCACCAGGCCCTCGATGTTCTCCTCCAGCATGCTGGACTCGTCCAGCCGCGCCGTGCCGCACTCATAGCACAGCTGCTTGAAGACGCGCATACGCACCGAGCCAGCCCGCTGGGCGCGGTCCAGGAACATGTGGAAGAGGATGACCAGGTGGGGCGACTGCCAGGTGTGCCAGCACCAGGAGCAGTGGAACCTGCGGAGATGGGAGGAGAGGGAGGAATAGAAGACGGGTGGAGGTGGTGGAAACAGCCCCAGGAATGGAGTGAGGGGACCTGGGGACTAAGCAGAGCCTGGAGGTAGAGGCAGTGTTGCCGGTGCCCTGGGTTCATTAGCTTTCCCCAGGAAGCCCCTCAGCCTGGCGAGTGCCTCTAGAACCAAAGCAGGCTCCTCAGAATGCCACCTGGCATCCAGCAGTGCTCTACCTCCTCAGTGCTTTCCAGAGGCCTCAACTCCCTCCACCGGAGTGCTGGGCATCATTCCCATTCCTCATCTGCAAACTGCCCAGGGTACACTAGGTGAGTCCTTCCTGCTCACACCAGACAAGAAACTCATAATCCATCTGCACATTTCTATCTATTAACACTGACTGTGAACAGGCTAGATCCAAATCAGGAGAAAATGACACCATTACTAGCTGTCAGCGTCCAGGCCAGTGCCAGAGTTGATTCATCACAAGGCCTGGAGGTGGAGGCAGTCTGTGCCCAGAGCCCCAAGGGCTGTAGTCTCCCAGGCCTGACAGGGGCCAGCTGGGGATCACAGGCCCACAGCCAGGTCTGGGGCAGCCACAAGCCCTCCCTAGTCAGCCCTGACAGCCTTCCAGGTCTTGGAGAAGCTCCTGAGTCCCACCCGTACATGTCCAGCCCTTGACACCCCTCCTGTCAGCCAATTTAGGAGCTTCACATTTTTATTCTCTTCTGTTCACTCACATCTTTTGGGAATTGTTTCTTCCTCTCAGATCAGACTACAAAACCTGATTGAAAAATGTCTTAACTGGAGGGACCTGGAAATCATCTACTTAATCATTTGTTTTATGCTGAGACAGAGAGTGAGAGAGGCATCCATGTACACACAGCTAGAGGCAGAGCCGGTGCCCAGCACGTAACAGGTGCCCAGTAATGTTTCCTGAATTGACGAAGTGAATTGACTGAATCAGAGCAGGCAGGAAGGTCTTGCTTCTGACTCCGAGGCTGCACCTCTCAGCCTCCCCATCCTATGTCCCAAGGGTAAGCCCGTACACTCTGGACCCATGAACAAGAGTGCTAGAAAATCATCTCAGAAGGTTTCTACATGCTAATCACCTGGAACTCTTCTTAAAATCAGATTGTGATTCAGGTCTAAAAGGGGCCCAAGAGCCTGCCTTCCTAACAAGTTCCAGGTGACGCTGACGCTGACACTGCTCTGTGGACCAGAGGCTAACCTCTCACTGTGCAAACGCAGAAAGCCAGGTCCAAGAAGAAAATCAAATTCCTCAAGGGCCATGGAGCCAACAGTAGAGCCAGCTTCCGGCACACCTCATGTATTCAATATTTGAAATGAAAGTACGTCGAGTTAAATAGATTTAAACTGGTCCCAGGACCAGAGCACAGACCTCTCGACCTCCAGTGAGCCTTACACCCTCCTTCTCTGGTTTTAAACTACTTTTTAAGAGATTGTTAAAATAGAAAATATGTAAAATTTCAGTGTGTAGGACTAATAAATACATTCTATGTCTTTATTTTCCAGATGAAAAAATTATGACTCAGAGAGAAAGAGTAACACAGGTGATCAGTGAAAGAGCTGGAATCAAACTCAAATATCCTAGTTGCCAGTGAGGGACTCTTTCTCTGACTTCCAGTCTACGCCAGTCTAATAGCGAGATTGAAGCTAAACACTTGGGTTCTATGTAATCTTCTCCTTGGAAGGTGCCCCAGGGCTAGAGACCTAGAGGCTGCCTGCAGGGTTCCTACTTCCTGGGCTACTCACCTGCCTGAAGCATGCACCTCCAGGTACTGCTTCCAACCAGGGCCCAGCACATTGTGCTTGAGGTTGGGGTCTATGATGAGGTCCCAGCTGTCAGCCGGCTTTGCCTCCTCCATCTTCTCATAGAAGATTTTCTTCCACTCTTCTGTGGTCACGCTTTTACACATGGTCTCGTCAGTAGTGAGGGAGGGCAATTTCCACCTTAGTGAGAACACGGAGAGTGAGGGTAGGTGCAGGGCAGGGCAGCGCAGTCTCCACGGTCTAAAAATCCTCATCGACAGGACCAGGAGGAAGCAGGACCCAGCTCCCTCCTTTGTCCGCAGTGGAACCTGTTTCCACGGCAACCAGGCAGGGCGCCAGAAGACAGAGCTTGGAAGGAGGGAGTCTCCGAAGAGGTGTTTCAAGGCCCTGAACTGAGATTGCAGAGGAAGAGTTTGTGTGTCTAAGCAATCCAAGACAGGGTGGGGGACCTGACCAAAGGTTGAGCTTCAGACCATCTCACCCTGGCCTGCAAAGGGTATGGGGAGGTGAGGACTTGGGAGCTGGCTCAGTTTCACCTTGCTGCCCCCTGGAGGCATCATCAGCATCTGGCTGCTATGGTAACCATGATGCCTTAGGGAGCCAAGAAGAAATAGGGATGGGGAGATGTAAATGTGTTAGTAGATGGAGCAATAATAAGAAAAGCTCGCTTGGCTTCCCCAGCCATCTTGGGATTAGCACTTTGCCATTTTCAAAACACAATTGGAGGTCTCTTAAGCTACGATTACTATTGCCGCAGTACAGGTCAGGAGCCTAAGACTCCCCTAGCCTATAATTGGCAGAACCTGTATACAAATTCACACTGTTGACCCCAGACCAGTTCATTCATTCATTCATTTAAAACATATCCAGACATGTAGGTAGGGTTTGCAGACATGCGCCAGGCTTTATGTCAGTGCTTGTAGCTGACTATGTTCCCAATAAATGTGCAATAGGACCCAGGCTGTAATGGCCTTATATAAGACCAGCCACCTGTGCACAAAGGAAGGAGCCATTGCATCAGCAGGGCAGGAGTAGACAAAATTATTTACAAGCTAATTATAGAAGTGCGGAAGAGGAGCACCATCCATAGGCAAAACAGTCTTTACTATACATGCCTCTTCTGCTATTTTTAATAAATTATTTTTCTTTTTAAAAGGTCATATGTGTTTATTCTAGAAAAATTATAAAATATAGATTAAAGAAAAGAGAAGTAATACTCTTCCATAATACTGCACCCAAGATGACTACTGTTAACATGATATGTACATCTTGCTTACCATTTTTGTACATGTACATGTGTATCTGTGTGTGTAAATACGCACATATTCCACATATCACATACATTCTACACACCACATTGTAACATTTTTAAAAAACATATTATGAATATTTTTCTAGGTCATATTCCATAGTAGTATATTATAGGCTACCTATATTCTGTTATATGGATAGGCATAATTTATTTAGCCCATCCTTATTTGAGGGCATTTTGGTTTTATTTCAGTTTCTTACATTACACTCTTGACATCTATTTGTATAAAACTTGTTGACGAAGCTCATTGCAAGCATTAGAGACAACACTTCCTACAACTGGAAAACACATTTCTTCACTCCACTCTCTGCAAAAGTTTGGTGTAGCTAGCAGAATCTGAGCAGGCTCTTCACACAGTATGAATTGTGGACAGCCAGCCGATCTTGAAATTTAGTGATGAAAAAGAAGGACCTAAAACTCACTCATCTGATATCAGAAAGCATCTTCCAAGTGCTCCTCCTGCCACTTCGTAAATGTTTGATGCCTTCATTTACATTATTTTAACCTCAGTTTATTCATCTTCTCAGTGGGATAATAATAAAACAGTATCTGCAGTGATTAAAAGCAGGGGTTCTAGAATGACTTGCCTGGTTGCTTTTTGTTTGTTTTTTGTTTGTTTGTTTGTTTTTTTGAGACACAGTCTCTGTTGCCCAGGCTGGAGTACAATGGCATGATCTCAGCTCACTTCAACCTCCACCTCCCGAGTTCAAGCAATTCCCCTGCCTCAGCCACCAAGTAGCTGGGATTTCAGGTGTGTGCCACCACATCCAGCTAATTTTAGTAGAGATGGGGTTTCACCATGTTGGCCAGGCTGGTCCTAAACTCCTGACCTCAGGTGATCCACCCGCCTCAGTTTGCCAAAGTGCTAGAATAACAGGTGTGAGCCACTGCGCCTGGCCGCATTTTTTTTTTTTTTAATTTCCATATGGCCTCATAGGTAGCAATTCTAACATATGTGATCTACATCTTTTCATCCTAGTAAAAACAGATGTGAATGTTTTATGTGAATATATTTTTAATTTTCACAGTAACAGCAACCACTTTATAGCAATTACTATACAGCACTTACCCAGTAAGTGCTTAGAATGCATTATTCTAGTGCTTTATAAATATTAACTTATTTCATTCAATAATAACCTTGACAGGTAGGTAATAGCAGCAGCTCCATTTTACAGATACATAAGCTAAAGTCTAGAGGTTAGATAACATGCTCAGGATTTAACAGCTAAAAATTAGTTGAACGTAAACTTGAACCTATATGACTGTCTACAAAGCCCCAGCTTTCGCCATTGTGATGCTCAGCATGGAATCTAGAACATAACATCTGCTAATTAAATGTGAGTTTCTTCATCATTCGCATGGCCACTCCAGACCCCAAGAATTTCAAATGAAGTTTATATCATTTCAGCAAATGGTTCACTGGGCCACGCTGAAGCCACATCTCCCCAGAAGAGGAGTGAGTTGTGCATGACCCACCAGGCTCCCTGCTGCTGCTGGGGATGCTGCCTCAGCTGCCAAACTTAATGAAGCAATGGTCTCCACAGAGCCCTGATACTCGGTGTAAATATTTTAGAGCTGAGAGAGACATTTAGCTTGAAATCTTACTGAAGAAAATATAGTACAGAAAGTCATCTCCAGGCACAGCAACCCTGTAAAGCCTCAATCATTTGAAGCCAGGGATCTTGGCTCAATGGAAAGAGCACTGAAGTGGGAGTCAGGAGAGTCATAGCCCAGCTCTGCTCCTGGCTGGCTCTGTGACCTTGGGCAAGTCACTAATTTCTCTTGGCCTCAGTTTGTCCATCTGTTCAATGAAGAATTAGGGCAGATGACAAAGATAAGGTCCTCTCTGACTATAGTCATATATGGTTTTGAATAGCTTTATACTTAGAAAACTGAATCCTGGGAGGGCAGGAGGTATGATGGAGGCCACCGGATGGAAGAGGGAAGCTTCTTTTGTCTAAAAAAAAACCTTGGAAAATTTATTTAGAAAGTAGAAAATAAAAAGTATGACTCTAACATCTATTTAGATTGTGAACAAAATTAGAAACAGTTAAACTACAGAAAAAAAAGGCAGAGATACTGAAGTTAACTTAATGGCTATCCAATACAAACAAGCAAAATCCAAGTTACTTTCATGCAAATAAGCATTGAGGAAAAGAATATGGGAATGTTTACAGAATGAACCATGGCAAATATTTTTCAAATTTACATAAGAAACTACATAAATGAAAAAATAATGTACAAGAAATGTTTTACAGCTTACAATAGGCTATAACTTAGTTTATCATGAAAAAAATTTGTAGGACATCATACATTTTACATCACAGATACAGCGTTAAAAGAATTTAGACATCGTAAAGCTTAGACTTGACAAGAATAATGTAACAGAATAGGGCAACTAAAACTGAAATGGCATGTGTAAGTAAAATTCATCCCCAACTTAAAGGACTCCTTAGCTTGGTACATAATAACATATTCTGAGTATGATTTGGTTAATAACTGGGCATTAAGATAAATATCACTTAATTTTAGTTTAAAAGTCAGTTTTAGCTGTAGTTGAAATTAAAAGTCAAAGCACACAGTGTATAAAAAATAATAAAAACCACCTGAGTATCACTTACGTCCTAACACTATTAATTATATTCGTGATAAGCAGACTAGGATATTGATGTTACTTCTACAAAGTTGCCTTCTATTTCTAAATGCTGTAAACTAAACTAAAACAGGTTCCTCAGAAAAGAAATGGCAAATTCCAAAATGGCTTAACAGCTGTGACAACGATTGACTGAGCCAGGTATGACATCGATGAAATTGAAACATACAATGTAAAGTTGAAATAGTCCCAAATTATTTTACATTATTTATGTATACTCTACAAATTATGCAAACATAGAAATGTTTTCTTGGAATGCTATTGGAACTGCAAGCACTGCAATGTATGAAAGAAAGAGGTTTAGAAATTTAAAACTTTAATAATAATATCCTACAATTGAATTAGTTGCATATTTATACCATTCAAAATCTTAATTTTAGCCTCATTCACTCCTTTGACAAATAAAGGAAGAGGGAAGCTTCTAAAGGGGCATGGCAGCTGGTGCCTGGAGCCATGCTCTGTCTCCTGGGGCCTGTTACATAGCTGAAGATCTCTGGGGAGGTGCCACTCTGCTAGATTTGTACTGAACATAGCAAGAAGGACAGAAATTAAATATATAGAGCCACTGAACATTAACACTGGGAAGCCTTTTTTTATAGAGAGATGGGGTCTCGCTATGTTGCCCAGGCTGGTCTCAAACTCCTGGGCTCAAGCAATCCTCCTGCCTTAGCCTCCCAAAGTGCTGGGATCATAGGCATGAGCCACCTCACCTGGCGGCACTGGGGAAAACTTCAGTTCTTCAGGACCCTTCATTAAGCTTTTAGTCCTTCAAGTCAGTATTCATGCCTCTGAATTAAGGCAGTCGACACCTAAATAAATAAACTAATTTAACTAACCTCACAGATACGATGGAAGCTACCTCAGGTGGGAGCTACTGGCCAAAATGAGAATGAGGACTTTGGACCTTCCCAAAAAAGTACGTAAAGCTGAGAGGTGCTTATAACGAAGAGTGCTACCCAGAAGAAACCCTCTAGAACTATGTTGCCGTTGTGGCTACAATAAACACTATGATGACAGAACACAGAAAGTAAGAATCACCAGAGGGGTGTGTGTGAGTGTGTGTGTGTGTGTGTGTGTGTGTGTGTGTAACCAGCTGATGCAATCCCCACTGGCACAAATAAGGTTCTATTTAGAACCTGAGGTTGCTGTGCAGAGGTCAATATAATGCATCTTTCTAGATAGCAAAGTATTTTCTCTAATAAAAATTTCTATCAAGACAGGAAAAAGCAAAGCACTGTGGTATTGCAACTTACTCTCTATCAAAATAACCTCTAATGCCATGAAATCCGCACATTGGAGAATGCCAATTCAGACGTCTCTAAAGCTGCTGGCCTCACCCTGGCCAATTTCTTAAAGTCTGTGATCATGTTTTAAGTGTATAAAATGGTTTAAACTAAATTCTCAACTAGAAAATAGAGTGATGAAAAGAAAAAAACCATGCCTCTAATTTTTTGTTTCAAAGTATGAAGTTTATTATTCCATTATTAATTATAAACATTTTATAACAACAAACATCATCACTCTTGAAATGGTGCA